AGAGGGTGGAAGCACGGGTGTAAGGTTTGTGACGAATGCAATCACCATTCACACCTATATTGCAAAACATGCAAAAAGGTAGCAGATGGAATATATAAGCGAAGTGAATGTGAAAATTCTCTAAAAAGCAAAGCCTCATCTGTTATATTCTCGAATAATTAAATAATAACACGTATATGCCTCATCCGTTAAATCTTAGCTCTAAGTATTTTATTCATCTGTCAGTTAACAATATATTCTCTGTATTCATATTTTCGTGTGTAATACGGGCATTTGCACAAAGTTCCATTTTAATTAAAATAAATTTGTAGCTTCTGATTATGCAGGGATTATAACGGAGAATAGCAATATATCGGATGAAATACTGGAATATACTCCATTCATAGACAATAGACAAGCCAATGGACTCAACAGACAGTCTAATGGTCCAATGATGTTTAATTACGTTGTATATATACTAGCCCACATATTTGATCAAGAATTTTCTTGGCAAAAGTGAGTAACGTACATATAAAGAAAACAGATTTTTGTAAAGAAGCTTGGTAAAACGAAGACTCATGTAACCATTTCAGAGCATTCAGAATAAAGAAAACTTTAGGCACTTTCATACAATAATGTATTTAAAATGCGCTTGTTTATTAGTAAAATTTATACCCTGGTCACTATATCAAGATCCCAGGATATAGCTATTACATATTATTGATGGGACCAAATTACATTATAATATTAAAATATGTATTTTAGTGAGAACATAATTTTTTTCAGAGGCTATTCCTATTCAAACTAAGCCATTCTCGAACTGGTGTGAAATTATTAGATATTTCCATGCATGACTTTGAATAATCATGAAGAACATCCACATTGGATTCGAAAATAGCCTGTGTGCGATGACATTAGCATATGTCATACCTTAATTAACTAAAAGCTTATAAGAAAAAAAAATATTACCTTAACTGTGAAAAGAAGATCGATAATACTGACAATGCAAGGAAAGGTCGAATACTCAAAAGGGTAATTAACTGTTAATATCCTTTCAGCAACAAAGGTTTTAGGGGCACCCAAGTTCAATCTAAATAATTCGCCTTTGTCCTCTATATTTTTAATAAAATCTTAGCCAGCAGTATAACAACAGAACAGAAAACGATAGTTAAAAACTTACTATACAACACATATGCTAATACGTAGTATTTCTTTGCAAATTTTATGTCTCCATTTCCATTCCAGAAAGTTTTGCAAATCGAATCTACAGAGTTTCGAAAACATTTTAAAAGATCACCATTATACTTGGGATTTTGGGTCTTTAATGGTGGGCCGATATTCTCAAAAAGTAAAAATTCTTGAGTGATATTTCCATAATTAAAAAGGATACCATCTGCCTTACGTGCAGAGGCGTTACTATCGCGGTAAACTATTTCACGACGCCATTTAGATGAAGGAACATCATTTTCATTCCTGCCAAAAAAGTGTAGTTAGACTAGTAATCAATATAGGTTTATATATTTGTTCTTTTATTTGATTTACCATCTGCTGATGAATAATTTCGGAAAACAAAATTTTAGAATTTCAAAATCGGGAGATACTATTGTTGATGTGTATGTATTCTCATCCATAAGTAAGTCGAGTTTTTTGCCTTGCCCAGCTTGAAATTGCATAAGCTTGATTTCTAATATTCGTTTTATAAAGTCAACCTGTTTTGCATCAAAATTTTCAATGGTTGTTACTGATCGAATATTTGATATCGTGGTGGTTATCTTGCGCTAAATAGGAAATTACAATATTACTAAATCAAAAATAAACAAAAGGTAGACAAATATATTTATTCTCTTTACAGCATAGTTTTCTTGTATCCACTTTTTAAGTCCATCAATCTTGATGCGGGGTGGAGGTTGGGAATGTGCTTTTTCTTTTAATCTATTGAAAAGTTCTCTATTTATTGGAGGGTTATCCGAACTTATATTGATGATGTCCGCTTCTGCTAAACTGTTTAATGAAAGTGTTCTGTATGTAAAAATGATTTACTTTATTGTTGTTGGAAGAAATAGCTGTAGTACCTTCTTTCAACATCATTGTCAGTTAACTCATCTTTTTCTTCATAATTAGCCTTAATATTTTCTAGAATATTATTGATATCTTCTGAAGATACCTATAATTCACAGATCTTTAGAAAAAATAAAAAAAAAGATTTCCATCGAAATATTAGGCATTCGTACCATCGTGCCACCAGCTGATAAAATGTCCCCGTCATAATTTCTTTTCTTATTACTCTCAATTGAAGGTGCAAATTCTTTTTGTTCATCGCCTTCATTATCATTCAAGACCTAAATAATAAAAGGAAGTGTGAATTTATTTTATTGTGAATGATGAGATGAAAACACAATGAAGAATACCGCTATATTATTTTTTGGAGTTCGGATTGATTCATAGACTTTCAACTTCCTTTTTTTTCCATTATCATTAACTACAGCCTCATCCTTCTTCATTAAGATCAAGCTCTATTAAGAAAAATGTCGCGTATAGCTTTCCAGATATAAACATTAAGACTAGCAAATAATATTAATACATACTCCCGAAATATAAAATGGATTTTGACTATTATCATTTGTTGCAGTTTTTGTCCATGATATGATATTTTTTCCAACTTTCTCCACATTAGCAGATATAGTATGACATGCAACTTTATGAGAATCAGCTTGTACTTTTCTCTATAATCAAATTCGCAAACTTATTAGTTTCCTAAACTTGTGAGGAGGCTCTCTTTAGTAAACGTAATATCATTTATAACTTACTTCCACAAGTTTTTCACGCATTTGTAAATAAATATCGATAAAACCATTCTGAAAACGCTTCCTTGTCGTCTATATAATCAAAAATAAGTTATTTTAAATTTATTACGAGTAAACAAAATAGAAGAAACGTACCTCCCACAATTGCTTTCGTTTTTTTACGGCTTCTGTCTGTTCTACTGTATTAAGATGACAAGTATAGGCTTTTTCCAGATCTTTCCATGCTTTCTCTGGTAACGTATTTAAATAATCAAACTCAAAATCCTTAATAAAATCGTAGAAACGCAGAGGTGTTGACTTTTCCATAATGAGTTTTGAATAAAAGGCAGAACGCATCTTAATTATGGACAGAAATTCCCTCTAATTGGAAATTCATTTTTGATCGGCAAATGATCAATTAATACTGCCCGTGAACCCGTGAACTACTGTACTAATGAAAATTTTTAGAGTTGAAAATTTATTTTTCCTCAAACTCGAAAGGCAGATAAGTATTTTTCCGTTTCATTAAAGAGTCAGGTTTGTGCTCGGAACTTCGCTCAACCTTTTACAAGGCCCGGAGTCTCCCCACCTGCCTGCTGTGCACGTGAACTCTGCTCAACCTTTCACAAGGCCCGGAGTCACCCCACATATGCTCTTTTTTGAAATTACTTTGTTTTTAAGCATAATGGTAAATACGGTTTTCAATCAGTTACTAAAAGATTATCAAAATTATAGATGTCACTAGCTATGGTTATGAAAGTCCTGCAACCAGAAATAATGATCAATAATTTATTTTTGCGAAAGTTCATAACACGAAATTAAGGTATGAGTATTTCTGTTGTGACAGAATCAACTTCTGGGCTTGCAGAATAATTACTATTCTTTTGTACAGATTTCCAAGAAATTTATTAGCTTCGTAGAGGGCAAGTAACGTAAACTTTCAGCAGGTTTTTGCTAAGGTTAATATTCTGGTACTGGGTGTTTCATATAGGCACTATTTGTATTCCATTTAGAATACAATATCAATAACATATGAAAATGGATTGAGACAAACAAAAACATATATTATATGAAATTATATAATAACAATAGATTTCGATTTTTATTACAATTAATAAAGCAAAGCAATTTTTTGCACCAATAAATTTTCGTGTGATTAACCTTTTGAATATATCCAATTTTGTAATAAAACAATGTCGAACGATCAATTAACAATCAATACCTTGAGAGAATTAAACTCTAGGCTTGCATCCGAGATTACTGAACTTAGAAAAGAGAATGCCGAAATTCCAGAACTTAGAAAAAAATTTTCCGAAGTTGAGGCTGAGAACATCGAACTTAAAGCTGAGAACGTAAAATTAAAACAAACTTTGGAAGAACATGAATCCAGATTTGTGAAACTGGAGCAGAATGATAAAGATACTGCTGTTGAAAATGCTGAGCTTAAAGCTAGAGTCGCGAAATTAGAACAGAAGCAATCGCAAACCAATGAAAAGAATAACTTTATTGTTAAATCAGATGATGATGCCAAGGGAATCGATCAATCTTCAGTTAATACCATCTCTACCAAAATGAAAAATTCTAACGATACTCCGGCATCTAATATATCTGATAATACTTCAAATTCTGATGATGTATCTAACTTCGATATATGCCAGGAATCGGAAAACCAATATCTCACATCTCCTATTCTCGTAGGGCCTAAATCATCGGAAGACGACGATTTCCTAGATTCAACATATAAAGAAAAGGTTAGTAAAGAGATAATTCAGAGTATTAGAGAGAAGAAATTTCGAGTTCAAGAGAAAATCATAACTTCTCAGGATACTAAATCTTCTTTGAGTGTAAAAGGCGGGCAGGGGTTGATCCAAGAATTATTTACTCCAGAGCCGTCTCTACAAGAATCAAATATAAACCATACGATTGGAATTTCCGAGACCGGCGGTCCCGGAAAATCTAACATTGACGAAGCATCGCAACATCTAGCTCAGTTATGTGATAAAGCTTTTGATGCTGAGGATGGTGCAAATAGAGCTAACCAAGAAGAAATCTTATGTTGGTCCATCTATGGAAAGGATTTCAGGGTTCAGTTCAATAAGATTATTAAAAATAGCAGAGGTAAAATTGGTGAAAAGAAGGCGAGAAGCTTACTTTATGATTCCATTACAAAACAGCTTTCTATTATCCGTAAAAAAAGATCTCAAGAATTGGGTTTACATCTTCCAGAAATATCGCGGGATGCTTTGCGCAAAAAAACTCAGAGAGCTGAGAAAATTTATATATTATTCGAAAAAATAGGCCATGATAAAATCAAATACATTAAATCATATAGTGCGAATTCCATTTCAAAGCTTACTAATGATCAAATTCAAGAGATTATAAATTATTCTTGTCAGAACGTCGATACAGATAATGTAGGACATCAAATTTCGTCCGAAAATACTGAAATTTCGGCCCGTCTCGGAAAAATCTTACCCATACCTGAAGATTCATCATCCACACCAGCTAAGGCAGAGACCAATATCGACTATGATGATGTATATTTTGATGAAGAATTTGATGATGATGTGTATTTTGATGAAGAGGTTGCTTCGCGATCAGATAAGGTAGAGCCGGGCCAAAGAAGTTCTTCGAACCAGGCGCTTTCACACGATGATAGTGACCATAGTCACAACAATGATTCTGAAGAAGAGATGCCAGATGAATCGGATGACGATGGATATAGTGGGTGCGGTGGATATAATGAATATGGTGAATCTGATAGAGGTTATTATTATGATTTAAGTAGCGGGAAAAAAACTTATAAAAATTCTGATTATATAATTAGCGCATATTAATACGCGATTGTCTAAATATTGGAAGCCTTGTACTGGAACCCAATAGTAACCGTAATAGTATAGATTAACAGTCTCTACTAATTAATAATCGCAAATTGCATTGTAAAAATCACGTAAAAAAAATGGCGGGACACGAAACCCCTTCTCTTTATTTCATAAAAATTATTGCCGGGACGACAATATACAAATAAAAAAAATATTTATTTTTACTATTTTGGATTTATAATGAATACTGCATTATCAAGATCTTCAGGTTTTTTAAAAATTTCAGATAATTTCTCCCCTGGTTTAATATCTCATATGTAAGCGATTCTTTTGACTGGAATTTTAAAGTGTGATTCAATCTTTGCTTTTGTTTCTTCGTATGTATAGCCCCACTTAACTACTTCACGATATTTACGGGATGAAAATTCAAGCACGGTATCAAATTCATCAGGATGTGTGGCCATTTTTCCTAAATATAAAATTTTAATAAGTTTCGCTTTCATAGTTTTGCTATAAATGTCACAACCTCATATAAAACATTACCTTAGAACGAAATTTATGTTAAACTTTTTTTCAAAAATATATGAGAGCAAAAAAATAACGTTATTGCTAACTTATCTTATGGGGGAAACTTGCTTCTTTTTATACCAACCATTCGTTAGATCTAAAAACCTACCAGAAAAAAAAGTACACGATTAGTAAGTAAATAACAGAATAAAGCAGAATAAAGCAACTCCGCTCGGCCATAAGTTCCAAATACTGGGTCTATTTTGTTATTTTCCTGGTAAAATTAACTCCCCTTAGATTCGACGATCGTATTCTGCGAAGTGAAAAAAGTCAACGATCTTGACGATCTGGGAATTCCAATTCCCCATGACGTATGAATTCTGATAAAACTACTGATAAAGAACGTTATACTCATTGCCCTTATAGCCTTTTTAGGATGCAAAGAATCCCTGCTTCGCAGAGTCCCATTCGTGATTTGCTCTTATCGCGGAACCATATATAATAAGAAAAGGGTCTAGTTATTTGTTAACAGTTAAT